ATGATCCTTCAGAAATCATTCTAATATGCTGATCTGCTGCTCAAGAAACATTTATTATTATCATAAATCTTGAAAACAGTTACGCTCCATATTTTTTTGTGGAAATTGTAAATATTTTTAGGATTCTCTGATGAACAGCATTTATCTGAAATAGAACATTAAAGCATGTCAACATATTCTGTTACACCAAATACACAAAATAATGATCTTTAAAATAGCATCATATGACCCTTTAAAAGTCTTCACTGTCACTTTTACACAATTTTAACGGTACATTCACACGGGGCATCGGCGTCGACGCTTGATGGAGGGCGTTTCTGAAGCTTGGTGCTGACGCGACCGTCATAGTGACAAAAGCCAATCACATTAGTTTTCTGGTGTTGCATGAACGCGATTGGCTAGCGTCTGCACCAGGGCTGACGCCTGCGTTGGCGCTTGAAAACTTGAAAAGTTTTCAACTTCTGCCGTGAGCAACGGACCCAACGCGACACGACAGACCCACAATTAATTTCGGCAACGCTTGACGTCACTCCATTCAAAGTAAACGAGAGGCGTTGATGCCGACGCCCCGTGTGAATGAGGCGTAATGTATCTTTGATGAATAAAAGTTTTACAAAATTTTACTGACCCCAATTTTGAATATTTAAATGATATATTTAATAAAAATATGGTTTCAGATATTTCACTTGTAAAATTCTAATTAAATATATAAAAAAGTAGTTACATTTAAAATATAAAAACGAGAGAAAATACAGAATTGAGTAAATTATAGAGTGATTTTATGAGATGATTGACCATCTGCTGTATCACACCACTGACGGTTCACACCCTTTCCTCTGCTACCCAATCAGATGCACTGCTGACACAAGCACACTAGTGCAAAGTGTTGCACCTGTTGTCATGGATACTTAGCAAATGAGATGAGGTGACAAACATGAGGCATTAAAAAATTGTCACAATAATGTTAGTGAACGGATTGGAATTAAAGCAGTAATTACAGAACATCTAGCATTAGCAAATGTACTAAAGTCACAATGGTGCAGGCACACACACACACAGATTAGTTGGTCGGAGTATTTTTACCACACCCTCCCTTCACTGCAGGAAGATCCGATTGAATAGAAAATCCGGCTATTAATCTTACTGAGGTGCTTCACCATCTGTCACTACACAAGCTGTGCCGATCTACTATATGTCACTCTGCGCACACATTTACACACAAACACACACATAAGCTCTGTTCCTGAGCTGCCTCACGGCCTACACTGGTAGCATGCTAACAATCACGGAAATACATAGACAGTGACTCTACATGACACAAATGGCACTCTGCATGCAATTTATTTTAAAACATGATGAAATCAAAATTCACACTTCTTATTTTCTTATGGAATATTGCAGAGTTCATTATACATGGTTTATCCAGCAACCTGTCAATCCCATAAGATAGCAGCAATAGAGTGCATTAGTGCCAGACCACTTTTTCAGCAGCGCTGGTTCTGGAAGTAATTTTTTCCCATAGGGATATAAAAAGCCTTTGTTAAAGCATTATCAGCCATGAACCGAAACCAAGCATCTACAAAGTAAAATAACATATATGAACTCAATTGTAAAATATGTGTGTGTGTGTGTGGTGGTGAAGACGACTTGCTGAAGTGCAAACCGAGCATCAGAATGGGGAAGAAAGGGGATTTAAGTGACTTTGAACGTGGAATGGTTGTTGGTGCCAGACGGGCTGGTCTGAGTATTTCAAAAACTGCTGATCTACTGGGATTTTCACGCACAACCATCTCTAGGGTTTACAGAGAATGGTCCGAAAAAGAGAACATATCCAGTGAGCAGCAGTTGTGTGGACACAATTCCCACTGCCAGTTGTTTTACTCCCTGACCGAGGGCACCCTTGGCACGGATGCTCTGGCACACAGCTGGCCGCAGGGCTGTTTCCTTCCACCCTGAAGGTCTATGTGGCTGCCATTGCGGCTCACCATGATCCTGTTGACGGTAAGTCTCTTGGGAAACATGACCTGATCGTCAGGTTCCTGAGAGGGGCCACGAGGCTCAATCCGCCTCGCCCTCAACAAGTTCCCTCTTGGGATCTCGCAGTTGTTTTATCCGCACTGCAGAGAGCTCCTTTCGAACCCTTGCTTTCAGTGGAGCTAAAATTCTTATCATTGAAAACTGCGCTCCTGACGGCTTTGGCTTCGGTTAAGAGGGTCAGGGACTTGCAGGCATTTTCAGTTGACGAAGCGTGCCTGGAATTCGGGCCGGCCAACTCTCACGTTATCTTGAGACCCCGGCCTGGATACGTGCCCAAAGTTCCCACCACTCCTTTTAGAGATCAGGTGGTGAACTTGCAAGCGCTGCCCCCGGAGGAGGCAGTCCCAGCCCTGGCGCTGCTCTGTCCAGTACGTGCTCTCCGCACTTACGTAGACAGAACTCAGTGCTTCAGGACCTCAGACCAGCTCTTTGTCTGTTACGGAGGCCAGCAGAAGGGAAAGGCTGTCTCCAAGCAGAGGTTATCCCACTGGATAGTAAATGCTATTGCCTTGGCTTATCAGGCTCAAGACCTGCCATGCCCCCTAGGGGTGAGAGCTCACTCAACTAGGAGTGTGGCTTCCTCCTGGGCGCTGACGCATGGCGCCTCGCTAACAGACATCTGTAGAGCTGCGGGCTGGACGACACCTAACACATTTGCGAGATTCTATAATCTCCATGTAGAGCCCGTGTCCTCCCGTATACTTGCCCCTTCGGGCCAGTAAACAGGACCTGCTCGGTGTCAATTCGCTTACTGCGCCATTCCACTCCACGGACTGGATGCGTGCGCTATTCTCCTCAGGTGAGTTCCACAGTTCAGAACCCTGGGTTCCTCCAGCACTATTGGTGTCGAGCACTTGCGTGCATGCCCTGTCGGTCAGCCCCTGTGTTAGACTAGGTGCCTCCATGTGTCAATCCCACGTGTGTATTTCCACAGTAAGTCCCTCTCGGCAGCATGTGTCTTGGCTTTCAATTATACTGTAATGTTGAATGGCTATAATTAATAGGTAAAATTGAGGGGAAATGTATTTAATAGAGACACCAGTAGCAGTATTGGTATCAATACTTCATTAATAATATACTACTTAGTAAAAAGATGCCATTTAAACATATTTAAAATATACTATCTTTATGTTGTTTCTACATTAATTTGGATGTTCAGTGTGAAATTGTGACTATAAATATGCAATTAATCTTGATTAATTACAGAAAAATGTGTGATTAATTATTTTTTTTAATTGATTGATAGACAGCATTAATGTTTCCGATTTCAATTTAATTTCTAATTTTATAGGTCCCCTCAGAAAGAGATCGGAACCGCCCCCACCCCCTTGGCCCCCTTCAAATTTTCAGTTTGATAATTCGGCCATCAAATGAAGCTAATTATATAGCCCTGCTCTAATCTGTTAACATGGATGCGGAAAAAAATACGCACTGCAAACTGAGTATGTGTGAAACAGGTGTAACACGATGGCCTGCTACGTTTGTCGAACAAGAATCTCAACGTTTTTTAGGGACAAAAAATATATATATAAATCAATAAATCCGTTTGTTGTTTTTTTCTTGTAAGTAAAGTAAAGGACAAACTAAAAATATTATAAATATGTCAAGTCATAGTAGTAGTTATGACTGCCTGTTTTTGCAAAAAGAGTTTCATGGCCTGTAAAAAAAAATGTTGGCCGGTAAATTTTATCACGTCACCGGCCATTGGCAGGTGTGGCAAAAAGTTAGTTTTAGGCCCTGGCCATTTTGGAGAGTATCCACTGAACGTAAACAACGTATGCTATTCTGTGTCAGCTGTGTCATGCGGATATGTTGTTTTCGTTCAAATCAAAGCGTAAACAACGTAGAAAACGTGATGCAGCTGACACAGAATAGCAATTTTTTTCACCTTGATCGTGGTAATTACATTGCTGTCTATGGGAGGGTCAGAGAGCTCTCAGAATCCATCAAAAATATCTTAATTTGTGTGCCGAAGATGAACGGAGGTCTTACGGGTTTAGAACGACATGAGGGTGAGTAAATAATGACAGAATTTTTATTTTTCGGTGAACTAACCCTTTAAGTATTTTGACTTGAGAGCATAAGAAGGCTGACTCATTTGCGGTGCTTCATGGCAGTAGGCGGAGCTAAAGAGAACTTTTGGTGCGCTTTGCTGCAACTTTCTGATTGGTGGAATTTTCTGCACAGCATCATGGGTAATGTAGATTTTCACTATGAATTTCAGTATTAAACACGATTATTTTAAAAATAAGCTGAAACAATGTGGGCTGACAGCTACAGAAGCAAATACCATCGATTAACAACCTCACAGTAGGTCTGTCTGTAAAGGTTTATAAGTTCCGGAGCCCGACTGTTGTGCTCTATAGCAAAGGACAACGATCCAACGATCCAATCAATTTCCGATGGACCAAATTAAATCCCACCCTACATTTTTTCTCATTCAAGTAACAGTTGGATATACACTTCCTATGCATATCCTTTGTTACTAAGCTATTGGAGTGCACTCTGATTAAATGCAGTTTCATTGTATGAACAAAAAAATACTGTGACATTTTTTAAATATTTTGTGAACAAGCGAATATTTTGTAAATCTTTTGTGTTCCACAGAATCAAGAAATTCATACAGGATTGGAACAGCATGAGGGTGAGTAAATGATGATAGAATTTGGGTAAACTATCCATTTGAAATACACAAATACACAAAATGAATCAATGACATGGATCAGAATTGTTTCACTACTGAATTTAACTTTTTGATTGCTTTTCAACATGGGGGAATTAACATTTCAGCATTGATTTATTAACATTTTTTTTAACCTTTTTACAGCCATTTAGCATTAAACATTGTTTCAATGTTTTTCCGACAATCAAACAAAAACTGTCCACTAGTTCAACAACATTTCAAGGTTGAAGGTTGGTCACATGCTGGCTGGTAAGTAAATAAGTCCATTTTTTATTATAGTAATTTTATTATATATCAGTAATTATTTACAGTGATTGCCTAACTTCTGTGCAACTTGTGAATCTCTGTACACAATTAGTCACTGGCATAATATGGCACAAGCACCAGATGTAATGAACACAACACTTCATTATCCTGGGCTGTCTGAGTGTCTCAGGAAATGAAATGGGTTATTACTTGCACTGAGTGATTATATTCATTAGAAGGCAACAGGACTGACAAAAAAACAAGATAAAGTATATCACACAAACATTTTGCATTAATAAAGAGGCAAGGGCTACTACTTTATTTGTAGTATATATTGAAGGCTGTTGAAAAAAAATAGGTAATTTCCAAAAAATAAAACCAGAATGGAAGCATTCAATAGGAATTTCAGATCCACTAGGATCTTATTTGATTCCTAGAAACCTACTGGATATTGTGTGAACTCAACTTCGTTTGTATTGGAATAAAACATGAAATCCCAGAGATAGCGTTAGCAGTTTTCAAATCCCCACAGATTTTCTTTTAATTCTTTTTGATACACAATTATTTTATCCAGCTGGTTCAGTTAGGAACTTATACTTGCACCTAAAGGCAAAAGTACTTCACAACTTCAAACATACATAAACACACACTTTTGTAAGCTCACGTGTTTTCTGAAGATACTGGTGCACTTGAAATCTTACAACCGTAGAAGATTCATAACGGACAGCCTTGATTTCCTAGACCTCGTGACTGTAAACTAGCGTCAGGTTCCTCTCCGAGTGCCGGTTACATAAGCAGCAGTGACTGTTCACAGCCTCCCACACAAGCTGTGCACAATACCATGTGTACGTGTTGTTTTTACTGCCAGCTATAATTGAGAGAAACTAGATTTGCACTTCTTGAAAGAAAATACCAGTGCTTTCAGTAAAAGTGCAGTTTTACAAAGTTGCAAACCCAAATATCTAAAGATAATCTACAGTTTTGTAGAAGGAAATAATATGAAGGAAAGAAAATAGAAAAAGGCATTATATATTAAAAATAGCAAGATTAAAAAAAAAACCTTGCAAGGTCTGTAGTTACTCACCCATTGTAAGGCTTTAATAAATCCTAATGGCTGTTTGAAGACTGTGAACTGCCCGGTGGCGACCAGCTAAAAAATAAATACATAAATAATATCAGCAACAAAACATTCAGCTATAAAAGACCACGATGAGTAAACACAGCATACTTTTAAAAAGAGTACTTATTATGGATATAACATACTTTAAAAGAATATGCAGTACAGAGTGAACTCATGTTTTCAGACACTTAAATGCATGCTAACTGCAAGCAAATGAAAATGTACTGTAGAATATATTTGTATTTAAACTATAATAACTACAATAAGAGTGGCTTTAAATAGGACTATATATGTAATTTCAAAATCATTTCTATTGTCTTTGAAATATGGTTGAAGTGTACTGCTGAATGTACTGACAAGCATTTAAAAATTAGTACATTTAAAATATTTTAACTTTAAATGTAAAATCAAATAACACACTAGAGTTAAAATTATAAACAAGTACTGTACACGTGCTTTAGTATGTTAGTCAACACATCAAAATAAGTGCACTTCTGTAAAGCACAACAAAAGATTATTAAAACATAATGACTTAAAATGTACTGTAATGTAAAACTTTTTAAAAGTGTACTTAGCCATGAAAGTGAACTCTCTATAAATACACTTAACCTTTCATTTCATTAATATTATATTATCTGCAAGTAGTTTTTTAAAATATATTTATAAGATTTGAAGTACACTACAATTGCACATTAAGTAGAATGAAGCGCCCTTCTTAAATATCCATCTATTTATCTACAGTCTCTATCTGTGCAATGCATAGAGTGTTTACAGCTTATTACTTCTACTGAGCACGCTGTCACATATTTGAGTGGATAATGCAGGTATGTTGCATTTCTCTCGATACACTGTAACAACCTGACCGACCCTGGTGCCGTCAGAGCGCCCGCGAGAGGAGAGGGAGGCTTTGCGAGCATTAGAATTAGTCAAAGCTGCTTACCTCAACGTTTCCTTTATGAAAGTGCAACTGGCGAGCACATACAGGCCACAGGCCGATATATCTGACTCGCACCGCGGGCGCAAGGCCAGAGTGTCATCTCTCACCTTGCTCTTTAATGCAAACCATATGCCATCTGCTGTAACCCAGCGTGTGAGACCTCTGTTCTGTTACGATGTAATAACTGACAAACACTGTCTGGATAAATAGTATTCTGCAGTCCGATTCGTTTGAGAGAATCGGTTCTCTCGGGCGGTTTGACTCAAAGAGCTAGTTCGCCGAATCGTTTGTAGCGTCACTCAAAAAGCAGCATTTTAAGTTTCATTTTTTTCCCGTTATATAGATTGTTTATGATTCAATCATGTCATCCACTAAAAGTTCTCTCTTACACAGTCAAGTCGTTTACGAACTCTGTGGGAATCGGTTCGACCGAATCACTAAAAAGAACCGGTTCAAAAGACGATTCGCTCGCGAATTGGACGTCAGTGTAAATACAGATAAATAGCCCGCAGACGGCTCTAGTCCTTTAATGCCTCAACTCACAGATGCATCATGAAATTAAAGACCTTGAGCTAACAGCCAGTTTGGTCTATGTGAATCATACAGCACCCCGTTTGAAAATAGTTGCGCATTAGTTCCGTCATTCTCACTAAATATATATACTGCAGTATAAAATACCACCGTCGCAATGCACTGCATAAATCAGTGCTAGTGCTATTTAACGGTTTCACGTGAAATTTTTGTTTTGAATTGCCAACGGTTTTCTGTTGTGTTTTATTTGGTGGCATCCAGCAGGGATTCCCTGAAAGTCAACGAAACGTCGTGTCTAAGTATGTTCTTGTCCTGGTAAGTCATTCATTTAAACTCCGTTATCCGTCCTGTTAAAATCAAACGTCGGTCAGTCAAATAACAGCAGCCTGTTTGGTCTACATGCGAATAAGTGCGAGGAGTTTGCAGTAGATTGCAGAATTGATTCGGTGAATAGCTGTGATTGAAAGCCCTACCTGGTTGACAACATCCATCTCGACCGCCTTTCGCTGATAAGAGGATCAGACGAGTGGAGGTAGAGCGCCGCTACATCCGGGTCACCGCAGGAGCAGCGCTCCCAAACACCGCTCACGATAATCTCTCGCTCAAGTCATGCTTGTCTGAAGAAATTAGGTTCTTTTTTTCAGGATGGGCAGCCTCGAATAATACAATAATAATATACAACAATAATAGAACAATAAATAACAATACTAAATTAAATATTTTGTCAGACATACAATGTTATTTCTTTATACTGTCAGTTTCCCCCTTATTTTACTTACATAACACTGAACTGAACAATTGAAAATATTTTCGATAGACTGCATTTTAATTGTTTAAGTTCAACTGTACAGTAGGAAATTAAATGTCCATTATCTGCACACATTTAGGTATATTATGCATGATGTTGAAAAGTGAAACGTGTGAACAATTTGTTCAGTGGAGATGCATCAATGCATAACTAACTAAATGCATTGACTGGCTTTCTGCTAATCCTCAACAGCCATCATTTTGAACAAAACACTGTAAAACAAGGCATTATAATACATGTAGACAGTACTGGTCACCCTGATATATTGATTTATATAAGGTTCATATGTAGATCTGTTCATGCAGTATATTATTGATCCAGGTTTCCCGCGGAATTGGGCTACTTTAAAGGGGTCATATGATGCTGCTAAAAAGAACATTATTTTGTGTATTTGGTGTAATGAAATGTGTTTATGCGGTTTAAGGTTCAAAAAACACATTATTTTCCACATACTGTACATTATTGTTTCTCCTCTATGCCCCGCCTTTCTGAAACGCATCGATTTTTACAAAGCTCATCGGTCTGAAAAGCGAGGTGTGCTGTGATTGGCCAGCTATCCAGTGCGTTGTGATTGGCCGAATTCCTCAAGCGTGTGACGGAAATGTTACGCCCCTCACCATACTGTGATGCTGTGTCCCGGCACAACGAGACGAAAACATTAAAACCCAAACCCATTATAAACGAGGCATTTGTTGCTGTAACATGTATATGTATATAAAACAGACTGTGTTTATGATATGACTATATAAATTACCATATAGTGATTTTCCAATTTAAAATGTGACACAATCTCATAGCAACTATTTTACGTTTTAGCGAATAAATGGCTAAATCTGCTCATGCCCCAGTGAGGGTTATGTTGGCTTAGGGGCAGGCCTTCATGCTTACTTTTTCTAAAAATCGTATGTTACGATTCACATAGTATGAATTCATACAAAATCGCCACACCATAAAATACATATGTTTTCCTGTGAGACCGGGTTGGTACTGTATAATACATAACCGTGACTGTATGGACTGTTTTAGGAATGGGAGTGACATTTTTTGGGGCTAATTTTAATTTGACGATAATTCCAGCGTTATGCTTCAGGTTTAATGGTGAGTGCAAGGTAAAATGTACGTAGGCTAAAATTTACAACCACGATGATAACATTACACAAAACTGAAATTGCACGTCAAAATTACACATTGTCAATATTTTTTGAGACCCCCCAAAATTTCACAAATCCCGTTTTCAGGGGAGCCCATGTCTTATTAAGGGGAGCCGAGCTCCCCCTAGCTACCCCGTAGTTCGCACCCTGCCTGTAGAAGATGACTGGTCTGTGATCCGAGTAATCTGATAGGATTGTAATCAGTAATCAACTCTGAAAGGTATTGAGGAGCTAGATTTGTATTTGTATACAAACAACAAAATTTTGAATTAAATGCGATAAAGAATCGGTAGCCACTAGCCAGTGCAGAGAACGTAAAATAGGCCTGATGTGGTCCCTTTTGCGACTGCCCATGAGCAAACATGCAGCTGCGTTTTGGACCAGTTGAAGTCTATGAAGACATGAGACAGGCAGCCCATGATACAGCGAATTGCAATAATCAAGCTGTGATGATATAAAAGCATGAATTACAATCTCTAAACACTTTCTGCTTAGGAAGGGATTAACTTTGGCTAATCTTCAAAGGTGATAAAAATTGGAATTGACAACAGAATTTACTTGTTTGTTCAGCTTTAGGCCACTATCCAGAATAAAATCCAGATCCTTGACATCAAGTGAGCGATATGGAGTGAGAGAGCCCAAGTCTACAGCACTCAGATCAGTTTTCTCGGTAGGCCCAAACAGAACAATTTGTGTTTTGTCATCATTCAGGTGCAGAAAATTATTGGTTAGCCATGTTTTCAATTCTTGAAGACAGGCTATTAATTGATTTATGGCAGACCTGTCTTTGCGCCTAAATGGTATGTAAAGCTGAGTATCATCTGCATAACAATGATACGACACACGATATCTCCTAAATATAGAACCAATGGGTAACATGTACAGTGAAAACCGCAACGGTGCCAAAGTTGAACCCTGAGGGACACCACATGTAACATGCGCTACAGAAGAAGAATGCTTGCCTATATTTACTGAGAATCTTCTGCTGGACAGAAAGGTCCGAAACCAGTTGAGTACAGTGCCTCTAACACCAATGCAGCGCTCCAAGCGAGACAGCAAGAGACCATGGTCAACAAAATCAAACGCAGAGCTGAGATCTAACATCACTAAGGCCATAGTATTACCAGCATCAGTAGACATTAAAATGTCATTAAAAACTTTCAAAAAGGCAGACTCTGTGCTTTGTAGGGTTTTAAAACCAGACTGAAAAACATCATAAATACTGTTACTATTCAAATAATTTTGCATCTGCATAAACACTATTTTTCTAAAATGTTTGATAAGAACGGCAGATTGGAGATTGGTCTAAAATTTGAATAAACTTCAGGATCAGTTGAAGGCTTCTTAGGGATCGGTGACACAGAAGCTAGTTTAAAGCAATCTGGAACAGTCCCTGTCAAAAGGCAGTTGTTTATGATATTCACTAAATCAGGTCTGATTGTATCAAAAATTTGTTCTACATATCGTGAGGGCAAAGCATCATGAGGGGAAAAGGTGGATTTTAATTTTAGAGTGATTTCTTTACATGACTGTAAAGAAACTCATTCAAATTCACTCCATAGAGTAGTGGATAAAATGGGGTCTGGAATAGAATTCGCCATAAATGAGCCCAGGCATTTTTAACTTTATCTAAGAAGTAGTTTTCACATAAGAAGAAATCTCTGGAAATTGGGGGATTTAAAACAGAGTCAATAGTTGAAAATAGAATTCTAGAAGAGTAAGAGTTTTTGACAATAATTGTGCAAGGAGTCTTTCAGCATTTAATAAACTTTAAGCCCATCCTTCTTCCACTTGTGTTCACACTGGTGACATTGCTGTCTAAGCACCTGAATATCGCTGTTCATCCATGGTTGGGATTTACGTTTTAGATTGATAAGCTTTCGAGATGCAATAATGTCTAAGACATCACAACATCTGTTATTGAACAATTGCACCCGATCATCAACATTCAAGTGGGAAGAAACAAGATCTAAAGTAAGTGGTTGGTATTTCTCCAGATACATCTTAGAAAATGCATTACTGGATTGAGCAGTCAGAGTACGAGACCAGCATGCTTGAGTTGGTATAGTACTAGGTAGAGAAGGAAGAAGAGTAATGAACAGCACTGGTTTATGATCAGAGAAGGAAGTGTCACTAGTGACAACATCAGCAATAGACAAACCATAAATCAATATCATATCTAATGTATGACCAAGACAGTTGCGGGGAATCTCATTGAACATGAGACAATCTGCGAAGTGAGCGCAGATTACTATGGTCGGCTTTCCTTCGCCGAATCCAAGGGGAGTTGTGTCGTGAAAGGTAGACAGGTGAGTCCTGCAAGTTACAAGTCAAGTCTACACACAGTAGAATCCCGCGGAGAGTGGCAGTAAAAAGACATGGGAGACAATAAAAAGAATAGAAACATAAATAGCACAGAGAGTATGGATGGGCGATACCACTTATTTTGTTTTCGATACGATACTGATACTTTTAAAGGCCAGTATCATCGATATCGATACCCATATGATACTTTTGAACGGAACTTTTAAATTATGAAATTTATGAAATTATGAAATTATTAAGAGTAAAATGGGTAATGATACCCACTTAACTTTATATCTGAAACGCATTTTAACATTCAATATGCCTTAATTGCAACTTACTAGGTTATATTTTTGTTTACACATGGTTAAAATATGTTGACCCTAGTGGTAAGGTAACCATGGAAATCAAATAATATAGTTGAACTACGGTCACTTTAGTAAAACCAGCATGGTTCATTTTCATAAGGGACTGCCAGTGAAAGGCTGTTGCATGCATATAATGCAACCTTTTTATTCTGACAGCTATGATTTATATTAACATTACAGAATAGAACATGATCAATATATTCAATATGCCTTAATTGCAACTTACTAGGTTATATTTTTGTTTACACATGGTTAAAATATGTTGACCCTAGTGGTAAGGTAACCATGGAAATCAAATAATATAGTTGAACTACGGTCACTTTAGTAAAACCAGCATGGTTCATTTTCATAAGGGACTGCCAGTGAAAGGCTGTTGCATGCATATAATGCAACCTTTTTATTCTGACAGCTATGATTTATATTAACATTACAGAATAGAACATGATCAATATGAACTTTTAACATTCAATTTAAATAAATGTAATTGCACAAACTGTAGGCTACAATTATTGTGAAATAACTCAAACATATATGTTTTTTCTGTCCTCTGATAAGAATTGTTCTGGGCTGTCATCAGGGATGAGCAGTATTTCAGATACATGTATTTAAAATATTTATTTGAAATGCAAAATACTATTTTGTATTTTGTATTTTAAAACCTTTGGAAAAATTCAAATGTAATTTGTGTTTAAATACATTTAAGATGAGTATTTTTGTATTTTCTAAATATATAAAATACGTTGTGCCAGTCTTTATCAGGGTGCTGATTTTGTGCATCAACTAGTTCAGACACGCACCCTCCCCTGCCCTGAACCCCGACATTAATCATGTGAGCTGCAGCTGTACAGCTCCATTCAGCATTGAGTGAGTGACTTTTCTGGAATAAGATAAGATGAGGATGTCATGGTTAATTGTACATGTTGATTAAAGTTAACATAGTGCATCAATCAGATTTGCCTTCGGTTAATATGAAAGAAGAAAAGAGCACCGAATAGTTTTAGCCAATCAGTTTTGATCGTTAATCGCTTGTTGTTTTTATCAACTAGCTTGTCAAATGTGTTTAAAGCATTACTGCATGTTAGGGCTGGGTGATATGACAATACATATCGTGGCGATGATATAAAGTGTGAATAGTTCAATCAACTGTGAATTGATTGAACTTTTTCTAAATCGTTTACATAGAAAAAGGCCTATCGGTGTAAGCAAATATATCTGCAGCTTTTAGTGGGAAAACGTTGGAGTGGAAAAAGAAGCACGGACGAATGGTCGTCATTGCTTGGTGCAATCACACTTATTATACACACCCACTCACACACACATACACACAGAGCGAAAATGAGTCAGTGAACCCATGAACCGTGACAATAAGTGCAGTGTGCCGCAAAAGGAAATTCAAGTTCACACTGGCAGCACGTTGGCAGGCAGTTTTTTGTGCACGCTCCAAGACAAAGTGGAACGGCGACAAGTAGGCCTACACCTCTGACTAAAGGCCCTTTCACACGGGACGCAGCAGGCGGTTGAATCACCGTGCAGCTGCCGCTTTCTCTTGTAGTGGAAGCGGTTTGTGCAGTTGAAGCCTTGTTCATACTTTGCCTGCCTCTACACCGCGAACTTGCACTCCTCTCTAAAAGGTTGCAGCTCTTTTGACACTTGCTTGACACTTTTTACACTTGCTTGCCGTTGTATAATTTTGTGAAACGACAGGGGGGCAACTTGGAGTAATTGTTCTCCAAACCATCGGAAATCAGCGGTGAGAGGAAATAGTTTGCAGAGTAGTTTGTCAAACAATAATTTCTTGAGAAGTTTATGAATAATGATACTGATTGAACAATACTGATTGAACAATACTGATTATTGATTACAATACTGATACAAACACTGATGAATGGTACACCACAAAAAATATCTTCAGCTTTTGGTTTTATTGTTTACTTATTCTTACCAGGATGGACAATGCAACCAATGCACCAACACCTCTTTACATCCCTGTGAATTAGGTAAGAAAAAAGAGCCAATTACAAAACAAATCATCATTACATTTTCATCTTTATACGTTATTACATCACTTATAAATTTTTTTAAGCATTTAACGTAACTCAACAAAAACTTTTAACAAAGCACCATTGAAAGCCACCGTCCCACCATCCTCATGTGGCATTACTGTGGTACAACAACACCACCAGCACAAAAACAGAGACAGGGGTTAGCTGCAGGTCAGAGTAATGGGCGTACCGAAAGGTGAATGCTACAACAGAAACTAACCCCTAACCCTACCACTAACCTTAACAGACAGCTTTCACTACCAATTATAAAGACCTTTCACCATGCCCCAACCTTTCTCCACACCCAATGCTCCAACCTGCCATGACCCACACCTGCAAAAACGCACTAAAGCAGGTTTTGTCATCAAAGCATGCAATCTGGTTCACTTACGTCGGTGCTCGTGCTGGGGCTGGTGTTGTTTGGATGCCGATTTTGGAAAGTTTTTGCTGGGATGGGCATTTAAAAAAATCTGAAATTCGCTTTTTTGGCATTGCATTTGCAACCATGTGAAAACAGGGGGTGCTGCAGCCCCCTCAGCACCCTCCCACGTCCCTGGCTCCAACCCTAATTAAACACACCTGAACATAGCCGCGGGAACGTATTTTGTCCAGGGGGGCTGAGAAATAAAACTTGTGTGAGAACAAAAGCACAGAGTTGTGTTAGGCTATTTTGATTACCCCATTACCATAGCCGCGGGAACGTATTTTGTCCAGGGGGGGCTGAGAAATAAAACTTGTGGGGGAGGGGGGTCACGTGACAAGAGTGATGCAAGAAGACACACTATGATGGCGGATCCAAAAGAGTTACTTTTAATAAAACTTTCATTTCTTCGTTTAATAGCCTATAAGTGAGTGTCTTTATTGCAGGGTTTCCATGAAAAAACAAAAAAAACAATGACCCACAAACTAAGCATTCGTTTTAAACAAGGGAAAGTACCTTATTTATTTGGGTTACAACGCAAGGCTATATCTTATTCATTTTGTTAATAAAAGTTAGATGTTTAATATATGCAAATTTGCCATTGTACTATTTTATGGCTATGATCGTTTTAAGGTAGCCTGAGGGGAACTCCATATTCATTTTGTTTAGAAAAGTTCAGTTTCCTTATATTAGGAAAACGTTATTTAAGACATTTTAAGACTTTGTAAGGACCCGCGAACACCCTGTTTTTGCTGCCATGTTGACCACTGATTTGCTGTGAAGTAAAAAAAACAAAAAAAAAAACAAAAATTTAGCCTTAGTTCAAGGACATGTCAAAGAACAGTTTTCATTGAGCCTGAGTCCACATTGCTCCTTGCTCACTGTACTGGCTTTACAAGTCATTTCACTCTGCACTCATCTTTGAAATGCCTCTTGGGCATCCAAGTGCAGCTCCTATCTCTCTGAATGGGGTAACATCAAATTCTCAAACTGTTCACGAAGATTATAATTACATTTCAGATTTGAAATCACCAATAAAATCCTCCAACAACGGTCTCATAATTTTTTAACTATGTTCATAAAGCATTTAAAAAAAAAGTACTTTTCAGACTGCCGCAGCAAATGCGCATGCGCAGTCATACACGCGTATCTCAGAATAAACTATAGCAACCGGAGCTTCTAAAAGCAGTTGGGATGACGTGGTGACTTTTCGAATCAACGATTGGCTCTTTTATTTAGAAGGTGGGACTAATTTGCCATGTTGTGCGTTACACTTTCTCACATTGATGAGTAATAGGAGTGTAACATTTTCCTAGAGTCTTTGCTTCACCCCATCTTTTTCTACTCACCAATCTGGTTTTAATATCAAAATCAACTGCGGGCGGCAGATCCTTTTCCTATTTAGCGCCCAAACTCTGGAATAACCTACCTAACATTGTTCGGGAGGCAGACACACTCTTGCAGTTTAAATCTAGATTAAAGACCCATCTCTTTAACCTGGCTTACACATAACACACTAATATGCTATTTGATTTTCTGGAGGCTGATGTAATTGCTTATGAGTCATTCCGTGTCAAATCAACCAAATTTGGGAAACTTCCCCAGCTCAAATTTTTAATTTTGTTAATATTTTTTTCTGTAGAAAGACAAACATATATAATGATGAAATCCAAAATATTAAATATCACAGATGTACATTTACCGAGTAATCCACTATTATGTAGAGGGTGTCAAAATGACAATTTTCTGGCAGCATCATTATTTTATTTTTACACCGAGATTGGTAAGTCTAGTAAAATCTATTGGCTTTAGCAATCTTTGTTTCATTATATGCTAATGGTGACAGTTCAAAAATGGCGTTTTGTGTTTTTTGCCTCAAGTTTGCGTGCCTGTAACTCAAGAAGTATTAAAAATCTCTTCATCTCATTTTAGATTCTGGCTCTTAACAAGCTTTTCTTTTGGTATCTTCATTTTAAAGGCCCTATATGGTTCAATCCCTGAGATATGGGGATCTTAATGTAGCTCCATGAGTAAACTGGACAATTGTACACATTTTCAGTGGTCAAAAACCAATCGTGGGTCACTTTGCATACAGCTGATACTTTTTTCTTTTAAAAGAGGAATGTCTGGAGAACAAATAATGTTGAAACTAGCAATGTATCTCATTTTTTTCCCCTATCAGCTCAATTGAATAGAACAGACCTGTCTGAGTGCCATAAATATTATTTTTCCAAAGTTTGCATGACTGTGACTCTAAAAGTATTGACGATATCTTAATATCCTTCTAGATTCTCATTCTTAATAAACTTTCCTTTTGAAATCTTACTTCCCAAGGCCCATATAGTTCACTGTAATTTAAGAGACATAAAGGCAATTTTAAGCAAACTGAAACATAGGGTGCACAAAATATTTGTTTGAGATTATAATATGCTCTCCTTTAATGGAAAATATATGATATTTCTGAAGAAAATTGTTAGAAAAAATAAATACTGTTATCATCAATGGACATGAAATGTATCCTAAATTAGATAGTGCTCATGCTCTTTTCATTCTTCAGGCAGTTGTTCAGAATAGATGGAGTCAAGAGTGTCTTCTTCGGCCCTGACTTCATAACCATTACTAAGGTAAAGAACCGGCATTTTTTAACAGTATTTTAATGTAACTTTATTTTTAAGCATTCTATCTCTTTATCCTCCAGGCTGATGGTCAAACAGAGTGGAAAGTGATCAAACCGGACGTCTTCGCCACCATTATGGACTTCTTCACCTCTGGACTTCCTGTTGTCAATGAGGCAGATGCTCCACGTGCCGACACGGGTTAAACATTGCCTTCCCTTCTTTACTTCTCATTTTAACATCCTCACTAAATCCAAGATCGTTGAAAATGTTGTATATGCCATACATCTGCAGCTCCTTCTGAGGATGACGATGAGGTGGTGGCCATGATTAAAGAATTGCTGGACACACGCATAAGGTACCTTGTTAATGCAGGCTTTAAATGAACTTTATTTTATGTTGCATAAATTTAGTAGGTCATATAAGTTCTCATATCTCAAAAAGTGAGCTGCTTACTGCAATATACAGTAGACAGCTGCCTATAAAACCAGCATCCCAACTGAAACAGAACCACAGAAATGATTGATTTGTGACACTCTACAAAGGCAGCAACTTGCATTAAGCATAAATATGCACATAGAGTAGCACATACAAATATTGGGTAAATGGTCAATGTAACTATTTAAATATTAAACTGAAACAGAACCACCTCTAATAAGCATAACTAGGCCTATACATGAAGTAGCAAACACAAATATTGGGTAAATTGTCATTTTATTTATTAGTAAAGTATTAATATTGAATCTTTATAAATATTAAATAAAATGTATTTATAGGCAATGTTTATCTTGCTTTGTCTGCCACCTTGGATTTATGTTTACTCCTGAGCTTCTTACATTTAAAAAATGTATGCAATGCTCCATTAGAATATGACCAAAGCAAGGTATCGTTGAGCTTTCTAGGTTTTTGTTTAACTTGTACATTACCATCCACAAATTTACTTTTTCTAATACTTTTGAAATTAATACTTTTATTCGGCAAGGATGCAATAAGTTTATCGAAAGTGACAGTAAAGACATTTATGATGTTACAAAACAATTTCAGTTTCTAAGAAATGCTGTTTTTTGCAACGTTGTAATCATCAAAGATCCTAAAAATGAATCATGGTTTCCACAAAAATATGCAGCAGTAAAACTGTTTTCAACATTGATAATAATCGTGTTTCTTGAGCAGCAAATCAGCATATCAGAGCGATTTCTGAAGGATCATGTGACACTGAAGACTGGAGTAATGATGCTGAAAATTCAGCTTTGATCACAGAAATAAATTACATTTTACAATATATAAAAATATATTGTAATTGGTGAGCAGAAGAGACTACGGTGTTGTACTGTTAAGCTGCTTCATTCTAAATAGAACATTTTCGCGCAACAGGAATAGACTAAATGGAATGCTGTAATAAACTTGTCATATTTAAATGTAAATTCATTGTTTGACTCATTTTCACCAACTGAACATGTTGAAGTTGTATTTTTTGGGGTCTTGGAATGTCTAAGGAATGACATACTGTAATCTGGTGACTGTCGCTGTTGGTCTGCATCTGTCAGTGCATTGTGAATTTGCATTAAAGGTATAGTTCACCCAAAAATAAAAATTCTGTCATACGTCGTGGTACTCTCGTGAATGACCCGGAAGGGAAGAAATTGTTAGTCGTTATTTTTGTTTTCTCTGCGCACAAAAAGTATTCTCGTAGCTTCTTAACATTACGGTTGAACCGCTGATGTCACATGGACTATTTTATCGATGTCCTTACTACCTTTCTGGACCATTAAACGTTTCAGTTGCATTGTTGTCTATGGAGGATCAGAAAGCTCTCGGATTTCATCAAAAATATCTTAATTTGTGTTCCAAAGATGAGCGAAGGTTTGGAAGCCCGTTTCCGCCACTGAATAAAAAAAAGGTTATTGTGACTTTTTATCTCACAATTCTGACTTTTTTTCTCTCGCAATTCTGAGAACATATCAGTCCCCCCCCCCCATAAAATTGGACTTTAACTCCCAATTGGGAGTTCTAAAGTCAGAATTGCGAGATATCAACTCACAATTCTGACTTTTTTCTCAGAATTGCGTGATATAAACAAACAATTGCGAGTAATAAAGTCAGAATTTTGAGATATAAAGTCACAATTGCGAGATAAAAACTTAAATTTTTTAAAAAGAAAAAGTTTATATCTCACAATTATGACTTTATAACTCACAATTGCGAGTTTATATCTCAAAATGATGACTTTATAACTCACAATTGCGAGTTTGTATCACACAAATATGAGAAAAAAGTCAGAATTGTGAGATAAAAAGTCGCAATTACCTTTTTTATTTTTTATTCAGTGGCGGAAACGGGCTTCCATACGAAGGTCTTACGGGTTTGGAATGACATGAGGGTGAGGAATTAATGACAGACTCTATTTGCATGTGTACTTCAGGCCCACAGTGCAGGAGGATGGTGGTGACGTGTTGTATCGGGGTTTCGAGGATGGCATTGTAAAGCTGAAGCTGCAGGGTTCCTGCACCAGCTGTCCCAGCTCCATCATCACGCTGAAGAGCGGCGTCCAGAATATGCTGCAATTCTACGTTCCCGAGGTGGAAGGAGTCGAGCAGGTGAGGAGTTAGAACGGATAGTCCGCTCTCAAGTTGTTTCAAACCTGTATGACTTTCTTCCTTCTGTGGAACATGAAAAGATGTGTTGAAGAATGTGGGTAACCAAAGAGTTTCGGTTCTCATAGACTTCCATTGTACTTTTTGGCCACACGATGGATGCCAATGGGAACCAAAGCTGTTTGGTAACCAACATTCTTCAAAATATAATTTTTACGTTTCATAGAAGAAAGTCATACAAGTTTGGAATGACATGAAGGTGGGTAAATGATGCCAGAATTCTCATTTTTGGGTGAACTAATTTTCTTGCAACGATGTCCCCCTATGGTTTTGTGATTCACTCAGCTGTAAGTTATGTTTCTGAGCTAATATTGTGCCTTTAATCTTGTAGGTGAAGGAAGAGGATGTGGATGTTGAAAAAGAAGTCCAGTGATATGAGTTTCAGTTGACTTCATCCTTTCTTCCTAATAAATTACCTAGCACACTTCAATGTCCGATCATGTAGAAGGAGTCTTGAGTTTAGCAGAGACTACTCGGTTACACAGCAGTAAGGAAAATGGACAAATCTGTGTCCTCACATTCCTTTAAACACGTATGTATTAGCTACAGACATTGATATTAAATCAAGTGTGCAGCAAATGTTTTTTAGCCTACACTTTTGGATGGACTGTTTGGTTGGTGCTGTAATAGGTTTGGGGTTGGTCGCCGATTATATTTGATAGATTTTCACTCGTTGCACTGGTTAAAACAAAAGGCAGAATTTCATGTATTTGTGCACATATTAAGAAATCGACTGTTTTCATGCTTAATATATTTTCAGGAAACCTGATTGTATCATGGGTCATTCTACATTTAAAAAAAAATTAGAATTATTTAATAGAGATTAAATTTGTAAGATTAATAAATAATGAATCTTGTTTTTTTCATTTGATAGAAGGATACACTAAATAAATGAAAAACATAAAATTCAAAATAATTTTCATTCACCGTTGGCTGAAGTGCTCTTCTGTCGGTGCTTTTGTACCTTGTTAGATGAAACGCTTGTATTCCTCATTTGTTGTTCAGATAACAGCATCTGCTCAAAGAATAAATATAACTGTATATTTCAAGGGAATAATCGACAATTATGAGTTTTGTCATAATCGTGCAGCCCTAATTACTGTATGTAATTATAATATTACTTCAAAATATGTTCAGAAAATATGTCTTTGAAAAATATGTTCAAAGACATTTTGATTAGTGGCTATTCAAAATGGCTCTTCAAGTATTCTAATATTTTTTTATGGACTTGCAGAAGAAAATATTGCATGTAGAAACTATTTGGTCTGTGGCTAGCCTGTTATACAGGATCAAATGGATAAATATTAAAGATAAAGAAATAAAACAGGATATATGAATGATAAATATATGTTTAAAAATATTATAGTTTTGGTTTTGGCTTCTGATTGGACAGCACAGTGTTCCGGTTACTATAATGTGAACAGCTGTTCACCAAATCACTACATAGCTCCCATAGAGGATTATTATTTTTGTTGCATAGCAACATTTTGATATGATGAAGTGGGATTGGATGAACCATTATCCACCCCTTTTTTTCTTAACACCATAATGCATCCTGAAGAAGACGAGGAATCATCATATCCAACTTGAATCTAATGAGAGAACAATTTAAGCGTTAATAATCCAAAAAACTCCACAGAGAGAGCATTTTCTTTTTTCAGACTCACAAAGCTGAGTTCCTCCTCACTCATGTTTAGTTGTACCCAATATTAAAAACATCCTCACCTTCTCAATCAGAAAACAGCAATAAAAACGAGGTGACACAACATGACTCAAGCATTACTGCTGGTTAAAGTAAGATAAGCTGACCTCTGCTGCTGGCATGATATTATTAGTTGTGTTTTGTATCACCAGCAGAGGGCGCTATAGAACTATACAAACAGCGGCAATAAAGTTAAGTTTATTTATAAAGCACATTTAAAAAAGGCCACAGGCGACCAAAGTGCTGTACAAGTTAGAATAAAAAAAATAAAAAATTAAGTACACTAATAGCAGCAAAACAGTTAAAACTGAACACTCTTATAAACTAAAAGCAGCAGAGAATATATAAGTTTTGAGACATGACTTTAACTCAGACAAAGTGGAAACCGATCTAATATAGAGTGGGAGCTTGTTCCACAGTGTGGGGCCGGCCACTTCAAAGGCTCGGTTACCCCTCGATTTTAGCTTTTTCGATTTTAGTTTTGGGTGTCTGAAGGAGGAGTTTATCTTTGGATCTAAGGCCTCTGGTGGGAGAGTAGGGGTGAAGTAGATCGGACAAATAAGAAGGTGCTAAATCATTTAATGATTTATATACCAGTAATAAAGTTAAACTCAATTCTCAAATGAATCGGAAGCCAGTGAAGGGATCTCAGAAGGGGGGTAGCGTGATCAAATTTCCTCTTTCCCTTCAGGAATCCCGCCGCAGCATTTTGAACGACCTGTAAGCGTGCCGTTTGGGACTTAGATATGCCAAAATAGAGGGAATTGCAGTAATCCAGGCGAGAGGTAATAAGAGCATGGATAGCAATCTCCAAGGAGCGCTTGGGTAGAAAGGATTTGATTTTCAATAGAGAACGAAGAAAGAAAAAGCTGGACCCATTGACTGCGCTAATCTGCTTGTCAAATTTGAGGCAACTATCTAACATCACACCTAGGTTCCGTACTTGGGGAGAGATGAATTGATTTAAAGATTTAAAGTCAAGGTGATTTCTTGGCCTGAATTCTGAGGGGTCAAAAACAATGACTTCTGTTTTGTCTGAGTTCAGAAAAAGAAAATTCTTGGCAAGCCAAGTTTTCACATCCTCAAGACATGGACAAGGTTGCCTAGAGCACTCTTATTTCCTAGACACAGGCATATAGATTTGCATATCATCGGCATAGCAATGAAATGAGACATTATGTTTCCTAAAAATGGAACCCAGAGGGAGAAGATAAAGAGAAAAAAGGACAGGAGCTAAAACAGCCTTGAGGCACACCACAGGATAGATTGCGAAGAGAAGAAGAGAAACGTCCTATTTTTACAGATAAATATCTATTGGTTAGAAAAGATTTAAACCAACTTAAAACAATAAGCTTAAAATATGTGCCTATAGAAACTGACTTTCAAAAATAAACCCAAATGTTAACTGTAATTAAAAAATTGTGACAACTAGCACATCACTTCAGATTTCTCTTTAAAGCAAAACCGTGGCAGAGTCTTAACTTTGATAAAGAATATCTCTTTGGTTTTGAGACTTTAGTCTTTGCAACTTCAGGGATCTTATCTATGCACAGTCAGCTTGTAACACTCCAAAGAGAAAGGAAAACTTGAAATCGCATCATATGACCCCTTTAAAATAAAAGTGGAACTATCATCTTTATTTAATAGTCTTTTTAATCATCATATTTATATATTTATTAATATATTGTATATTTGAACTGAAATTAGCATAAAAAATATCTATTATAAACACCATAATATGAATGCAGTTCACCAAACTGGGATAAAACAATGACCTCTTAGCAACAACAAGGCAAGGCAAGGCATGTTTAGAGGACGCATAGTGTATAATTTCTTCTCATGATGAAAACATGAGCCCCATTTTTCATTGTTGCTATATTTCCGGATTGCTGAACGTGATCATTCTCTAATTTAACTCATGCTGAACGAGAAAATACACAAGAAATAACAGCATTTATTACATGCATTAATAGCTCTAAATCCGGTATAGGATGATATGGTCTTCATATTTTAATTTATGTAATACATGTTTTATCCATTATATGATTGTAAATATTATATAAAAATGTATGCATACTGTATGCATGCATGTATGATAACACATAATATCACCATACATCCATGATATATGTACAATAACAATATGAAAACGTACACTTTATGTGAAGTAAATTTTAAATGTCAATAAGCCATAAAAGTTTACATATTTGTATTCTGTAGGGTGAAATAACTGTTAAATGTCACATTTTTGTTTTAAAATACAGTTTTATAGTTTGATGTTTCTGCCAACCCAAATAATCTCAACCCAAATAATGTGGTTATATTTTGATGATAGATTTTATTTAACATACAATTTAATAAAATTGTTTAAAAATACAAATTTTTATTTTTAAAAAAGAGTCTCCCAAGCTTACACTGTATTTGATATAACTTTTCAAAGCTTCAAATGTTCAACAAAAGTATAGTTTAAAATACTTAAAATAGTGGAAATGACACATTTACTTTGATCAGTGGGGTCCAAAACAAGTTTTTAAGTCAGTGGGGTCCAAAACAACATAACACTGTACCCAAATGACTTTCACTGTATGGACCAAAATGATAAAATAAAAAAAAAGTTTATTTTTCAATCATTAATTCATTTTTCATCTTCTCGTGTTCCACAAAAGAAAGAAAGTCATACAGAGTTAGAACGACGTGCTGTAATTTTTTTTCAACATTATTGATTTATTGACTTTATTGTTTTGGAGTTTTGTCAACAAATTGATTTTATAAATTGTGGGCTGAACTGGCAATACCATCCAACAAGACCCAGAACACATCTGTTGTAAATCTTGGTATAAGGTTGCAATTAATGTCTTTTCTATAACAGATATGGTCATCACAAGAAGTACTGCAAAAGTTAATACAATCCAGTCAAACTGCACAGTGTCAGATAGTCTGTGGGAAATAAGCAAGGAGCTGTTGAAAGGGTGCAGAAGCATGATGTAATCCAAATGGCATCACCGTAGAATGAAATAAACCTTGTGGAGCAAAGATAATACTCCTTTGCAGACTTATGCAGTAATAATACAATAATTGTAACAAGACATGATTTATAGCCCAAATGAATTATATATTTATTTGTAAAAGTGCATTGTCTGTTAAAATGTTGATGGTAAAAGACTAGTAATGCAATAACAAAACCCGCAGCATACTGGATAATTCTGAGTCACCTTACAATTAACAGATTACAGATGTTTCAAAAAGTCCTTGCGTAACACATCATATTTGTTGATATTTCAATTAAATTAAAACCATTCAATCGATTAAAAACATAAGGCGGAACCACTGGGCAACACTCCAATATTTGATTGGAGTTCCCCTTTCTTGATCTTGTTCTCCTCGCTCCTCTCTTTTCACTTCCTGTCACTGCTTACTCCTACCATGATAAAATAAATAAATATAAGTGGCGAAGGGCAGGCAGGAAGGCAGGGAAGTGGATGACCAAGGTGGCGACGACGGAGGGAGGAACCATGGCAGATCAGATGGAGGGAGGAGCCAGGATGGAGACAGGAGGGACTTGGAGCAGGAGGAGCCAGGCGGGACCCAGACCGCAGCCAACAAGACGGCCCATGGTGGAGCCGATGGAGGGAGAAGCAATGGTGGAGGAATGGCTGATTACTCCAGGGGGCCGACCCACAGTGGCGGAGCAGGTGGGAGAGATGCCTGGGGCGGAGACTGAGAGCCGACGAGCCAGTGTGATGGGGAGGATCTGGAGGGCCAAGGTCGGAGCAGATGTCTCAGGTGACCGAGGCGTAGGCGGGGATCCGAAAGGCCGTGGTGAGCCGCTGGGTCGACGGGCTGAGGCGGAGTCTGCGACTCGGAGGCTGGAGGAGGAGACAAGGGATCCTCCAGCCACGACGCCAATGGAGACTGGCAGACCCACACCACAGATGGTGGGCTGAGGGTGAGCAAAGGGGCTGGCAGGAGACAGAGAAGGCTGGGATTGGATGATGATAGGAGGAGGTGGGAAAGGGAGTCTGGGTGGGAGTTCATGACAGGTAACAGGTTTTGGGATGATGTGTGCTGCCCACAC